AACAGTGATGATCAAACGCTGTTCGCTTCCAGAGACAATCGATCAACTCGACATTTCGGCCGCTTGACGCTGTTTAGGTTCCGCTTTACCGCGTAGCGACATTCAGCGGGCTTGACAGGTCTGTGCTTCAATTAAATATTTTTCATTCCCCTCCCCTTGCATCACTGTTTATTTAACGTTACATGCAAAATACGACAGGCAATCGCATATATTACGATCTATTTAAAGCTGTTAGTTTATTTATATTTAATTGTGTTTACGAACAGGCACATCTTATTGAGCTGTCCGATGGGCATCATGAAATCCTGACTTTTAGTTTTTTAATAAGCTGGCGGCCCGAAAGAAAATAAACTGGTTTCTGCAGCTTTATGCTTTGGCTTTGAGTGGCGCGAGCGTCAGCGCGAGGTCATGCGTGCCGCTGCTGAGCAGCTGTCAATCAGAATTGATCGCGAGAGATCGCATTGAAGCGGCTTGTTACAGTGTTTTACGCTACCACAATACTTTCTGTAGTATTTCACAGCAGAGACGGTCAACTTGTCGCTATCGCTTGGAGCGTCTCGTAGTAGTAGGTGGAGGGAAGGCGGATCGACTGGCTAAGCCCGCCATGCCCGGTCCGGTGAGCAGCAAAGCACGGGTGTATGCTGATGCCAACACTGTGAAGAGCAAGGACTACTGGGACTATGAAGCACATGTGCCTAGCTGGAGGTACAGATGTTATTTAGCATTCTTAGCAAAAAACAGGGGGGGGTTGAACAATGGTACAGTGTTTCAATGGAAATAGAAAAAGCACAGTAGTAGTATGTTGACAAAAAATGCACAATTGTATTTATTTATTGCTTCCTGTGTCTTATTCAGCAACCAGGATAACTACCAGCTTGTACGAAAGCTTGGAAGAGGCAAATACAGTGAAGTGTTTGAGGCCATCAACATCAACAGCAACGACAGAGTAGTTGTTAAAATCCTGAAGGTAAGAATGCCTGGTCTCTCATTGTCTGAGCATCAGGTAGAAGGTTTTTTTTTTTTTTTTTTTAAGAGATCAGGTTCACCCAAAAATGATTTTGTCATCATTTACTCATCTTCATTTCATTCTAAACCCCATCTAGACTTTTGAAAGAAAATTTGACATTTTTGTCCATCTAAAAGTCTGTCATGAATGTGCATATACATACAGTACAACATATGTACAGTACATATACATACATATTTAATACAGTGTATTAAATATGGTAAACATGCTTGCTTGAAGTGCAGGAGCCAGTGATGTTTGTTTTTACGTGGCAAGGATGCACGGTTGAGTTTACCCTGTTTAATGTGCTTTATGAATGTGCATTGGTCAGTGTTTATATGTGAATAAAGGCTTACATTAAATCTATTTAAGCCTTTAAGACTTTGATGAAACCGCTCAGTTCACATGGCTTACCTTTACATTACATAGACTAGTGGTTGGACAGAAAGATTACATAGACTAGTGGTTGGACAGAAAGATAAAACAAACGGCTTTTGATTTTATGTGTCATTTTTGACACATGTGTCAATGTCTTGGCTGAACTAACCTTTTAATTTTTGCTTTACTTTTGCAGCCTGTTAAAAAGAAGAAGATTAAGCGTGAGATCAAAATTCTGGAGAACTTAAGAGGAGGAACCAACATCATTCGCCTTGTAGACACAGTGAAGGATCCTGTGGTAAATTTAGCTCTAGTAATACAACTGTTTCCTACAGAATTCTGTTTTTGTAAAAATTAGTCATAACATATTAAATAAAATATTATGTATTATGTTGTCAGCAGGCCCACACAGAAACTGTCTGCAAATTTGTATAGAATTGCATTTTGTGACATTAGCAAAATATTTTGTTAAATTAATTTGTAATAATTAGTAATTTTTATAATGCGTTTATCTACCACTAACAGTGTAGTACCTTTCAGTTACATTTAACACATCGTATCATATTTACAGTGGGGGAAATATTAATTTGATCCCCTGCTGATTTTGTAAGTTTGCCCACTTACAAAGAAATTAAGGGTCTGTAATTTTTATGGTAGGTTTATTTTAACGTATAGAGACAGAATACCAACCAGAAATCCAGAAAAAACACATTATATAAAGGTTAGAAATTGATTTTAATTTCAGTGAGTGAAATAAGTATTTGATCCCCAAGCAAAACATGACTTGGTACTTGGTGCAGAAACCCTTGTTGGCAAGCACAGAGGTAAGATGTTTTTTGTAGTTGGTCACCAGGTTTACACACATCTCAGGAGGGATTTTGTTCCACTCCTCTTTACAGAGTCTCTCTAAATCCTTAAGGTTTCTTGGCTGTCTTGGTGACTGTGGTCCCAACTGCCTTAAGATCATTAACAAGCTCCTCCAGGTAGTTCCGGGGCTGATCCCTCACCCTTCTCATGATCATCGTTACCCCATGAGGCAAGATCTTGCACGGAGCTCCAGACCGAGGCCGATTGATGGTTGTTTTGTATTTGTTCCATTTTCGAATAATCGCACCAGCAGTTGTCTCCTTCTC